AGATCTCCAAGCAACATGTTAAACAATAATAAATTGCTTCCTGTTTAATTAGACACAGCAATATTCTCTCCTCAAGGCACCTCCCTTTCCACTAGCCCAATCCCATTATACTTCAGGAACATAGAATCTTCATCCAATTCCAATTCTCAGACAGAAGCAGGATCTCTGTTTCCTGAGTGCTGTCCTGCCCAGCTTCCTCCTGCTTTCTCTGTGCCGAGTTTCTGGAGCTGAGACCCTCCAGTCAGCTTGGCAGGGCTCCCTCAGAGGGTTCCAGGCTTCACTGGAGGAAGGGAGGGCACAGCCTTGATTTGACTTTTCTGGCCACGTTTAGACCTGAATCCTAAAGCCCAGTTATAGCAGGGATGTTTGTGGGTAGCACACACAGAGCTTTATTAAACATATGCACACATTGCACACCAAACCTTGTACATAGACACATTGTGAGGGTGCCTTTTCCAAGCCTACACAACCAAAGGGGTTACTGGGGATGAATTAATAATAATAAATATTAATAAATTAAAGGATGCTTACCTGAGCTCCTGCTGGTAAGAAGGCTCAGTCACTGCTGCAGAACAAGACAATGCCTCCTAACAATCAGGGTCGAGTGTCATACCAGCACACAAAACACTTCAAAGACAAAAATTCAGTGCACAGTTAACAGTTTTGTCCAGCAGGTGTTGCTGGAGACTACAAAACACATTCAGGCAAGTTCCAGCTGGCCAGCTTTTGGGAGGGTGTTGAACACATGGTGTTCCCCTGCCCCAGATCAGCAAGGACAGGGTGCCCAAGTATACTTTAATTCATGAAACTTTTCAATGTTATTAAGTAATGCAAGCTGTGACATTGAAATCCTACTTTGGAATATACAAGCAGTGCCTAACTCCATTTCTAAGTGGAGGTAAAACAGTCTGTGACTTCCAAAATAAGCCAACTTGACAGTAGGATTTCAGGTTCTACATTTTAGTAATTCAGATCCATTCCAGCTAATAGGGCAACAGGATACTTGGAAACTGAAAAATGAACCCAACAAAAACGATAAAAAAATCCTAGACAACTGCTGTGTGGGGATACCTTACCAAAAACAAACCAAAAGAACATACAAGAATTACCTCCAATTGTATTTTGACAGTAATGGCATAAATAGATTTCATGTAGTATTTGAACACCGGATGTGATTCAATATTTTTTAGGTATACTACTTATAATTCAATTAAATGGTTTAGCCTGCAAACCCATCAGTATTTCTACAGACAATGGAAAGGTCTGAATTGCAAGATGAATTATCCAAACAGTGAATCAGTCCTTGGTACTTGAAATTAATTTTTCAGTGTTAGATGGTGTCACATCTTTACAGGAAACTGAGTCTGTAGGAGCTTTAGTCCATCCCACCACCCATTTTTCAGTCAGAAGATGCAGGAAGAGACTGAGCAAGACAAAGCAGGTGGTGTTGTCCAGTAATGCATCATTAGAAGATGGAAAAGACAAAGGAGCAGACAAATGTCTAGAGGAGGTGGGGGTATGAAATACCTGCTTTCAAGTATTTTTACATTCACTTTGAGTTCTTCATGAAGTCATGTAGTCTGATCAAAAAAGTTAAGCTTTGGAAATTTAAGCTAGATGAATTCAGGAAAAATATGGTTAAATATTAAACATAACTATTTTGAAGAGCATGTTTGCCATCCAACTCTAACGCTTGCTTCTTAAATTCTGCTAAAGCTTTCCTCTTCAAGTGCTGAAGCTCATCCTGTCTTAGGCTGCAATGCAAGATGTGACCAAATGTACATATTCTGTTACCATCTGTTAAAACCAGGTGTGGTAGAGTTCTTTATCTCCTCCACAACCCATCCTCCCTCCAGGGGTTTCTCTTCTGTCATTGGGCCATTGAGTCTCACTGCAGGACTGATAAAATTACATCATCCCTTTGGGAGATGCTCCACCCAGGGGAGGAGCCAAGCATTCCTGCCTGGATATAATCAGAAACCAGGAACACCAGTCAGCCTTTTCCCACTGGATTCCCAGAGGAAGACAGGACCCATCTACATCACCACTGGACCTTTAGAGGAAAACTACACCCTTCTACAGGATCACTGCTTCAACAGAACCACATCTGTCACTCCAGGACTGCAGCCACCATTTAATCAGACTGCTACCAACACCGTGACCAGCAGGGTGTCAGGTTGTATCCTGACTATGTCAGTGTTTCTTTTTACTACTGCATTTTATTTTAATTTTCCTAGAAAAGAACTGTTATTCCTATTCCCATATCTTTGCCTGAGAGCCCCTTCATTTCAAAATTATAATAATTTGGAGGAAGGAGGTTTACATTTTCCATTTCAAGGGAGGCTACTGCCTTCCTTAGCAGACACCTGTCTTTCAGACCAAGACATCCTGTTACACCATGCTTGGTTGAAACTCAACTAATATCCAGCTCAACATTTTTGTGAGAGGTGAGAAGCTGCTTCTTCCACCTGCAAAGGCAACTTGCTCAACTACAGACAAGTTTGGCCCAAGTCTTGTTTTTACAATAATTTGTAAGCTACCAAAATTACTCTAAGATTGTTCCTATTAAAAAAAGAAACCCCCTTTCAATGTCAGTAAAAATAGATACCACTTCTTATTCACTATACATCTGAATCATGAATCACTGGATGCTGGGAACATTCATGGGAAGCATTAACACACACTTCCCAAATTCTCTGCTCCTTCCCACTAGCCATTGTTACAGCCAGGATTCACTGCTTCACCATCTGCATCAGAAAGATTCTTGAAAACTTGAGATGAAATTTCACGATTCTTACTGCTCCCACACACTACTTTAGAACCTTGAAATGCCTTTTTAAGTACTGTCCTTGCCACACAGGGAGAAGTTAAAAAGTCTAAAGTCACTCCAGTTTAAGCAGGGCATCCCTTCAGTGGCACACAAAACCTGTGACCAGAACTAGAATAGACCCACAGAATTCTTTAGGTTGGAAAATGCCCTTAAGATCAGTGAGTCCAACAGTTAACCCAGCACTGCCAAGTACACCTCTCACCCATGTCCCTAAGTGCCACATCCACACAGCTTTTAAATAACCCCAGGGATGGTGACACCACCACTTTCCTGGGCAGCCTGTTCCAGTACTCGACAAATGTTTCAGTGAAGAAATGGTTTGTAATATTCCATCTAAACCTGGCACAACTTGAGGCTGTTTCCTCTTGTCCTGTCTTTTGTAACTTGGGAAAAGAAGCTGACTCCCACCTGGCTATAATCTCTCTTCAGGCAGTTGTAGAGAGTGATAATAAGGTCCTGCCTGAGCCTCCTTTTCTCCAGGCTGAACACCCCCAGCTCCCTCAGCTGCTCCTCACAGGACTTGTGCTCCAGACCCTTCCCCAGCTCTGTTCCCTTCTCTGGACTCGCTCCAGCCCCTCAATGTCCTTCCTAAGGGGCCCAGAGCTGGGCACAGCACTCCAGGTGTGGCCTCACCAGTGCCCAGCACAGGGGACAATCCCTGCCCTGCTCCTGCCAGACTCGCTATTGCTGATCCAGGCCAGGATGCCACTGGCCACCTTGGCCACTTGGCTCATGTTCAGCCTGTGTCCCAGGTCCTTTTCCACTGGGGCATTTTCCAGCCACTCCTCCCCCAGCCTGTAGCACTGCCTGGGGCTGTTGTGAGCCAAGGGCAGGATGTGGCACTTGGCCTTGTTGAACCTCCTGCAGCTATGTCCTCAGGCCATCGATCCAGCCTGTCCAGATCCCTCTGCAGCCTTCCTGCCCTCCAGCAGATCATGACTCCTGCACAACTTGCTGTGCCTTGCAAACTGAGGGAGCCTTCGGTCCTCTCACCCAGATCATTGATAGAGACATTAAACAGGACTGAACCCCACACCAATCCCTGAGGAACATCATTGGTGACTGCCTCCAGCAGGATACAGCTCCATCCACCACCTCTCTGAGCCCAGCATTCCAGGCACTTCTTTACCCAGCCAGGAATACAGATCTCCAAGCCCCCAGCACAGCTTTGCCTCTATTGCTGGTACAGACCTCTGAAAATGGGTGATGAGGAACACAGAACTGTAATAGGTCAGATTTTCTGTAATAGAACTGATTTTCTTACGCTGTAGAGATAGAAAGGCTTAAGTTCACTGATCACCCACCAATTGGTATTTCTGTTTAGAAGTACAAAGGTTCCAAAGGTCTCACTTAATGTAGATGAACATTAAGCCACTGCAACAAAACCATATATTTTAAATTCTCTAACAAACAAGACAGGACTATCATATAAAATAAAAACCCAAAGATATTCCAGTGTATCAATTTTTACTAATAACTGCATATTCAGTTATCAGTAAAATATCAGTATTCGTATACCTTACACCAATACTCACTGTCCTATGACTAGAACTGAGAACTCTTAGTTATTTTCTGCTAATTGCAAAGCAGAATTTTACGAGTCCATAGAAGTCAGACACAGCTTCTCTGAGTCACCTGTGGCTCTAATACAAGGTAAAAACTTCCACAATAGACTGATCTATTAAGCCTTTATTTACTGTGTCGCTCTTCTTTACATGTGCCTCCATGCCACAAAACATGCCATTATTGTGTTCCTCAATTACTCCCAACTCCTCCCATTTTCTTCCCAACTTCTGAATCAGCAGCTCTCTTCCCATTCTCAGCAGTTCCTGCGGTTTTTTTCCCTTACCTCAGGACCCAGCTATTTCTTTATGTAGTTTCTCTTCCTTCCCCATCAGTCACGGGTTCCACTTCTTCCAGGGATTTCATCTTTCCCAATGCAATATCATTCCTGAGACTGCAGAGACAGACTGCTATGGACTCTGCCACATGGACTTAGATCCTTCTCTCCCCTAACTATCAGCAAATGTGGTATCTCATGATACGTATCTCATCCACTCTCATGAGAGGGAATCACAAGCATTAGGCATGAGTGGGAAGCAGATCTCATCAGGACTTGCCATAGCATATTATTTCCATAACTACAAAGTTAAATAAGATTTACGCGATATTAAACAAACAGAACTTTTAACTTTAATATTCAAATTCAACACTAGTAAGAACAATTAGAGCACAAAAGGGAAACATTGTTTTAAGTAAAATGAATGAAGAGACAAGCCAGTAATCAGAACAGTTCTTCTGTCAGCCTAGGTTCAATAACAGCACCGGTTCCACGGCCACATTCTGTTCCACATTTTGAAACTTCAAACTAAATAGTTAAGCTGTGTCTGTTGGCATCCCAGACTGCAGTTTCTGTATAGTACACTATAAGCTTGATCAAACTTATGTACATAAACAATGAAAAACAACCTGAACACACTAAACAACTATTTACAAATATTCCAACATAAAAAACGCAAACATACAATAGCCTCAAGGATGGGCAACTGAAGAAAATATGAACAGTCAGAGAACCTTATTAGAAAGAAGAACAAAGTATCAATAGCAAAGACATTAACAATTGCACTACACTAATACAGAGTCCAAATATTAAATTGGTGCATTTTTTCACAATGCACTAGCTTTGAGAGAAAAATGCTGCCTTCACTAAAATGCAGCTTACATTTGTTTCACTTAATTGCTTTAACAAGAAGCCTATTAACACAATAATGATTGTTTTAATGCTACAGTTTACAGCAAGGACACTGAACTAAAAATAGCAGCAGTTCCACATGGCACTTAATTCCACAGGTTCCTAAGCTGTGGTTTATGCAATGCCTACAAAGTGCTCCCAGTTGAATACACAAATAAAATTCACAACAAAAGTCTACCTGACATCAGGTACATTGACTGTAGGTGGCCTAAAAGCCTGTCTTTCAAAATTAATTCCCCCTCGGCTCCAAAAAAAAAAAAAATTAACTATCAAAGTAAGGCCCCCTCCCTCCTTCTTAAAAGATTAGGGATATTGCTTTTTATTACAACGCTGTAACACTACAAAGCAGCACACCACTAGAGTGGTTAACCCTGGGATAACGTAACATCTAACAGTGTAACCGAAAGGTTTATGGAATAACATCCAGGACCCTCTACAGACAGGAGAGTAACCGAGTCCATTAACTCAAACGCTTAATATAAAACCAGCCACAGAGTACAAGTAAAAACCCAGAACCAATAGCTACAGAACTGGTGGTACCGATCCCACAAGAGGAAACCAGGAATTGAAAGCTTCCTTCAATTCCGTAGGCTTCGGTCCAGCAGAGAAGCCATGGCCATCTCTGGACTCCATGGTTAGTATATGGTGAGGCTCAGGGAGCGGTTCATTTTCTTCCCGATGAGCCGGGACGGTCGGTTCTGCGTCGTGGATCTCGTGGTCATTCTATCAGTGAACAGCGCTCGCTCCTCGGCCGCGGCCTTCGCCAGCTGCGCCTTCTTCAGCTCTCTGCAACACAGGGACACTGTCACACCCAGCAGCACCCACAAGGTACAGCCTTATCACAGCAAGAGATAGCAAACCAGCTACAGTGGGTCACAGTTCAAACTCTAGGTCAATTTTAGGTCACACTAAGAGCGTTACGATTCGCATCCACCTGTTTCCAACCAGAGGGCCAAGGTGGGATGCTCATTACTTGTCTAAATGTTCTCTCTTTTGAAAAGCAAGGGAAGGAAATTAAAAACATAACTCAGATTCTGAAATCCAGCCTGTTACAAGCAGCTCAACACTTCAATTACCAGGACACAGTAAGGTGCTTTTACTTCCTAGCACAAGGCATGTGTTAAGTCAGAGTTCATTGCTGAGGCTTGCCCAAAGGAAGTGCGTTCAGGGACACCTGATCTTCTGTGGGAGACTCAGACAGACGAACACAGGTGTGGGTAAACTGGCAACAGACAATTCAGGAAGCATCCTTTCCCTTTTGCATACCCACATCTAAAGCCAATCACCGCCTCCGTTTTTTGCCTAACAAAAACAGGAGCCTGCAAGGCAGAGTCACTGAAGGCAGCAAAGGCCATTGCCCCGTGCAATGTTCTGCCAACTGTTCTGTTTCAGAGAATTACCAATACCCAGGCTGAGGACAAAGTTAATCAAAGCCAGGATAAAACTATAAAATAGTCCTACTAAAGAGCACAACTACCTTTATAAAGGTTTCCCCCATACACTGCTTTTCTCCTTTCTTCAAATACTGACATACAGCCAAGCCTCAGCCTTGCCTCAGACTCTCCTCCTTCCACTATCTCAAACTATCCATTAAAGAACTTGCTCTACTATAAAAGCCAATATTTTGAAGTAATTTCACTTCACATCTGGCTGCCAAGCAAAATCAAATTTTACAAGCTTGCTGCATATTGGTATAGGTGTATTCAGTTTTAAGCTACATCTTTTAGTTTAATAAGCAATTCCCATTCTTGTAAGCCAAAATATTACTCAGTAACACCCGTGCCCCATCTAATCACCCCCACAATTATCACTGTGCCAGCTCACTGAAAGAGAAGCAGCCAATTTTCAGTCCTCTTCCTTGTGAGCATCAGTCACAAATACACACGTGTGCTCGCCCAACCACCACACACCATTACCAGGAAATTAAGTTTTAGAATATCCTTACTCTCTTCCCTAGAAGTCTTGAGTTCTTGCCTAGAAATCTTGAATTCTTCCTTCCTCTAAAGAGGACAACACAGTAGAAAAGCTGAGTTGCCTTAAAAGACTTCTTTTCACTGAAGATGGCTTACACTCAGAAGCGGTATTTTCAATGGTTCAAATGCAGAAATTAAAGAAAAAAACAAGCAAACAAAAAAAACCACCTCTCCCCCCAAAATACCTTAAGTATTCTACGGAGCACTATGCCACACAACATTAAAAATTACTGTGGCTAAGTGTTGTCTTTCTATCATTCTTGGATTTACAAGGATGCATCCTTGTTGCCAGGCCTGAAGAAGTCTTCAAAAACACTAGCTTTGCCAGTTTTTTCTTTCAAGTGGTGCAAAAATATGTTGTCTTCATACAAGCAAGCAACTTACCTCAGCAAATCTGCCCTTTAGCACCCTGCACAACTTATCTGATTATTCTTTCAATGTAATTCATAATATTATAATGATAACCAGCTAATCTAGAACATCTGGCTGTGGTCAGACTAGCAATGGCAAGATAAGCAGGTAACAATGGTGTGAACCTGAACATGAAATGAACATCTTCATTCAAGACACACCCTCAATAAGTAATCAGTGTTCTATTTCCCTCATAAAGGCCTGCCTATTATGTATAACACATGCAAAGGTAACTGTAGTGTAAGAGTCAGACAGCTGCTTGTTAATTTACTAACTCTTTCCCTGAAACTTAAGCAGAAATCAGACTTTCCTAAAGGGAATCTCTTCTTCCAAGTTCTAATTCACAGTGAGTGTTAGAGCAAGGGGTAGGACAAGATGACCTCCAGATACGAATGATTCTCTAGTGACCCAGTAACAGTGCTGTGTACAGGTCAAATTACACTCTCCAATAACATTCCTGATGTCCCATTTCATTTAAGTTCAAAACAGGTAATTTAAGTCATTTTCCAATATTTCAGTGTACAAATGACCTAGGAAAACAAAGACTCAAATCATACAGATATAAAGTGAGGCTACATGCACCTGTCAGAAAAGTGTGCACTGTCCAGAAACGTTTGTTTAAAACCATAATGTTTTGTATGCCTTGAATACTAATAGTGCTGTTGAGATTCCCTTAGAGTGTTCAAGCAGTTCTTTCTGTGGAGAAAGTTCCTTTTAAATTTCCATGACCCACTTTGTACACTCAGGTACACACATGCATACAGATTTGAGGATTTCACCCACAAACAAGGACACTCCTGCTTTATCATCACTCTCAGGTTAGTACCTGTTAGAAAATAAGTCCTGTTGAAGGACCCCAAGGACCTACTAACTTACTTCTGCAAGAGTGAGTTCTTGAATTTTTCAGCATTCAGCTCTATCCGGAGCTGCTCCGCGCTCTTTTTTGCGGCAGAGAGAAGCACTGAATGCTTCACTAGTGCCACAGCCGAAGGCCTTTTCTCAGGATCAGGATTAATCATAACCTTGGGAAACAAAGAAAACAAGGCATCCTTGTTAAGGCCAGCAAGACAGTAAGTTACATTTATCAGTGAGCCACTAGTACAGGAGTTCTTACTTTTAGTAACTCTAGTAATTCTTGAGAAAGCACTTGTGGTAGTCTGGGCAGTTTTCCTTGCCGAATTTCATGCCATTGGTCCCCATTGGTTGGAAGTGGTTCGGCCCCAGCAGCACAGACAACAGTCAGAGCGAGAGCAAAAATATCTGCTTTTGGCAAGTGAGTGTAGTTCTTGAAAAGAAAAAAATAAATTCACATTTTTTTTCCTCAAGGAAACAGCACACAGGCCTAACATCACTGTTTCCCATAAACAGAACAGTTACCTCTTGTAGAACTTCATTTGCAAGGAAACGGCTGTCACCCTCTTCCACTTGAGGACTAGAGACTCGAGTTACATGGCCCAGGTCACCTGCAAGGAGAAAACTAAGTTACTTTTCAAAAGACAATGAGATAATGCAAGTTTTTTGCACACAAGTAAGCTGTTTCTCACCTATTTTAAATATGACTCTATCAGATGACCAATCATCATCATCACCTTCCTCTAGAGTTACAGTCGGGACTGATGTTCTAGATATGAAAATGTTACCTGAAAAAGAGCAGAATTGTTAAAAGAAACGTTTCTGTACAATTTCTACTTGACCTAGTTTCACTAGAGTTTGCTTTAGCCTCGCAGAAGTTTTATTTGTATATATAACCTGTTCAAAGAGTGAGAAGCTATAACTGACTCGCTGCAGCCCCTCTGCTGGGAAGGCAGCCAAGTGTTATGCAAGTAGAGTCAATTACACAAAAAGAGCCCAAGATAAACTCAACAGTTTAGGTCTGCTGGCCAATTTTATAACTGACATCTTTGTGCTCCTATTCAGAACTTCAGGGAAGAATTTACTGTTAGTAAGGTGTGGCTAACTGTTCATTTTTCTACAGCAGATTCAATGAACTGAGCAAGTTGTCAATAGAGAGTAAAGTAGTTACAAACTTACTAGGTTTGATATCCATGTGTACCAGAGACATTGAATGAATGTACTTTAAACCTCGAGCCACTTGAAGCAGCAGGTCCTTCAGTTCTGGCTCAGTAAAGTAACGCATATTCCTGTAATTTTCACTTATGGCATCTGCTAAACTGCCACCTGAAACAACATTAAAAAAAAAAACAAACACATTTTTTTACAGCTGACAAAGTAAAAACAACTAGCTCCCAAAATTAAGTGAATATACCACAAAGAACTTGCTGGCAATATACAGTAAGTGTAAAATATAGTGCTATATACTTTTTTTTTTAGACATATACCAATATAATAAAATTCTTTTCTCCTGTAGCTGCCACACAAACTAACAGGATAGCAGCACAAGAGAAAGGGCTTTCTCTCTCTTCCAAATCTCTGTCAGGGTATCAACAATAGCAAAATGTTTCAGAAGTATGTTTAATCTCCCTCTTTAATGGAAACCGGAGCAATTCCAGCTTGTACTACTGTACAGTTCTGCTGCTCACAAATGCCTCACGGTACTTCCAGAATGCTTGAACATGCATGACTTGGTCTACAACTTTGTACAGTTTTTCCTTCATCCATCTGATATACCTTTTTCAGAAAGGAACATCAGTCACTTGAAAGAATGACAGCATGAGCTATGAGTGGGGTAATCAATTCCTAACCGGTGTTAAGAGCTTGTAGATACCTGCATGTCTTCTTTACTTACCATTGCAATATTCATTCTGTATAAGCATGTGATCATCTTCTGCCCATGCAGAGTAGTACCTCACTACATGAGAATGCTGTCCCAGAACTGCATGTGCATAGACCTCTCTTAAAGCATTCTGCCTGTTAGTCACAAAAAACAGCAGCACATGTGAGTATTGTATGGTGAAAGTAGTACAATTTCTTATTACGGTAAGTATTTCTAATTAAAAATCGTCCTATTCAATTCCATGGCAACCTAAGATGGATTTGTACTTATATCCAAACAGTTAAAATATTTTATATTATATTAAAAGACTTAACATGTGGAACCATCAAAAATCAGAGGCTGGTGTGGGTGACACACTTCCCAATAGAAAACTCTGAGATGCATGACTGAAGTTTTAGGGAAAAAATACAAGTGCTCATAAGCCAAGGGTTTGACTGAACTCAGCATTCCCTAAATTGTATGTCTGGTATGCAATTTTGAGCAACTCAGACTTGTGGGGGGCCTTTATTATAAATATTTGAACACACTACTGTGTTATATACTTATAAACTATTTGAACAACTATTCCCCACACTACTGAAGAGTGAGGGAAAGTCCTGAACCACAAGGTCATTTACAAATACCAAAAAATACCCCCAAACTGACCTAACTCATCTGTATGTCACTCAAGCTGACAAGGATGAGGACTCAGTTGGAATGAGTGCCTTCCTTTTATCTCTCAAAGAATCACCTTTGCTAGGAAGCAAAGTTACTCTCATTTTGAGAACAATCTGTTTCCACACAGAATACTGGGACAAACATCTGGCAGGAGAGAGGCCAACTAGCCTTTTCTCCCCAGTACTGCACAGTACCTGGGGGGTGGGTGGGGAAAAAAAAGTCCCTTCCAAATTGTATCTGTTTTAAATTTAATTCATGTTTGTTTTACCCTTTCCTCTTAAATGCCTTCTTTAGATACCAACACAAAGAGCCATGTAGAGAAGAAACACCAAGAGAAGACTTTTAAGCTTTAAGAGCAGGAAGTACTCACTCATCCACTGAGCCAGCCAAGGGTTTCTTGGATCTTTTTATTGCATAGATGCAGCCATCCAGCCTCTTCACACACTTAAACACGGAGCCAAATTCACCAGACCCAATCTTCTCCAGTTCATGGAATTCGGTTGCATACCGTGACTTCATGTTACTTTCTGTTATTGTTATCCTCTGCAAAGATTACCAAGGAAAATATTTAGATCTGCAGATATACAAACTGCTAAAATTAGTATCAAGGTCCAAAGATTAAGCACCTTAGCAGGTCTCATGGTTTCCTCCTCAGGCTCTCCATCGCTTGGTTCCATGTCCTCTCCACAAGAGCTGAAATTCACACCAGAAATAACATGGTCTAAGTAAACTTAAAACTGAAGCCCAGAAGCTGCTGAATTTTTCTGAGATCTAATTCTCCCATTCAATCTACTTTTAGTGAACTCATTGAACACTAGAAATCTGTAAACACAAACCCATAAAACTGCCATACTAATATCTGTAATTTCTTTCTTTATGTTTCACACTTCTATTTAATGCTTTTATTTTCTCCTCAAGAAAGACCCCTGTGCATGGCCCATTCCATGATGGAAAAAAAGACCAGGACACAGCCTATCCTCTCTGTAAAGTCATCAAAAGATCAAGTGCTAAATGATTACTTCATATCATGTGTCTTGAAGCACATACTTTAAGAGCTGTATTACACATTGCTAACAATCTGCAAGCAAAAATACTTTCTTAGAAGCAATTTGTAGCAAAATTTTTGCAGCCAAAAGTAGTTCTAAATACAAGCTTAACAAAGGAGGCTACAAGTCACTCACTCATTCCAGTGTATCCTCTTCCTCCTACGACATTTGCCTTCAGAGTTGTGAAGGAACATGGAATCTGGAGTGAAGGGATTGATGTTCACGTGAGGTGTTTGTCTAAAATCTTCTTCTTGCTTCTCCGACTTCCCAACATTCATAAACAGCGAGCCCCCTCGAAGTTTGACTGAGCTCGAGCCTAAACCTTGTGCTTTAGAAAGCAAACTCTGTATTTAAAAAAAAAAACAAAACAAAAAACAAAACAAAAACATTTATAGCCATTTATAGCCTTGATATTGCCTTAGACATTAAACAGTCAGGTCATGCCTGAAGCCACCATTACAGTATTGTCTAATTAAAGTTAACTTAATTTATTTAAATTAATTAATTTAATTAAATTATTGGTTGTTTAAATACCTGCATTTCCATCAAAAGGACTTTCTAAGAAACTATTATGCTTTGTACTCTACACATAAACAGTTCAAGCAAACGAGTATTAAAATTATTTTTAAAAGATAGGATAATGAGAGTAATCTTTTTCTGTCTTTAATAATTTCATTATCTAAGCTTCTTGTACAAATCTTTGTCCATTAAATGAACACAGATGAAACTGAAGGACAAGCCTGTACTGTTATCATCATGATTTTCACATGCATGATGTGGAAGCTAGATCAGACACAAAATGATCTTTGGTTTCTACAAATTTAGGTGACAGTCTTAATAAATTAGCAAATTAGAAATATTTAATATTAACATTAATATTAATGGTAATATTAACATTTGATGTACAGTCTACAAACAATGGTTCAAGAATTGACAGCATGGCTGCAATGTCAGTTAAACATCCCAAACTGATCTTCTGAGTGGTAATTTGCTAGACCAGACATTTTCCAGGCACATGATAAAACCTCTCCCAATTACACTGCAAAGTCTGCACCTGAGTATCCTTCATCCTGGTGAGGATGCTGATGACTGGATCACAAGCAGGAGCGTCACCTTATCCTAAATATCCTAAAAATAAAAATTTGACAGGACTAAAGCCCAAATCATCATAGGGAACAACACTCAGTACATGGGAATCTCGATTGTAATCCTCAAATTCACACTAGATTAAGATCTTTGCTTCTCAGGACACATTTCTGTACTTTCACTGGATATCTGAACCGACAGATTCTTCCAGATAACCCATGTAGAATCTAATTTAAGAATCCCACGGAATTGCTGTTAAGAAATTGTTTTTTAGTATCACATTCCACAAAACCTTTGCATCCCCAAAGTGTCTGTTCCTGACAAGGTGCAAAATCATCACCAATTTTACCTTTTACGAACTTGTACCGCTGATTTTTACCAGTGAAACCTCACTGAAGATGGAAGCTGTAGAAAACCAATTAAGAAGGATGCTTTCCTCCCACCTTAAGTCAGTTGTTTTCCATCTATACTCTATAGACCCCGGGGAGATTATCCCCGGGGATTATCCCAGGATTACTTCTAAAGGGCTATATGAAAAGTAATGAAGAAAGGAAGCCAATTATCACTAGATTTAAATTCACTATACAGGATTTTACACAGCGTCGAGTTCAAAAGTTGAAATGCCTTCCAAAAGTCTTCTATTGACAGAGTTAAGAGCTAACCGTCTAAACTTTGGACTCGGTCAGTTTAACAGCATCGGCTGCTCAAACAGCCTTTCACGTTTGATGCAGGAGCACAGAGGCAGCAGCAACTGCAGCAGGACAGGATCCCAGAATCCATCCGGCTGGAGAAACCCTCTGAGATCATCGAGCCCAGCCCATGCCCCAGCAGCGCCGTGTCACCCACACCGCGGCACTGACACTCCATTCCGATGTCTCATCACCATTCCTGTGAACAAATTCCTCCTGGGACGTGCCAGCTCACCGACAGACACGCAGCATCACACCCCGCGTCGAGCTTTAACTTTTTGGCTACACCCCTACCAACGCCCACTCCACGCTCAAGCACGCACTTCAGGAGCTTTAACACTCCACGCTCGCACTTTTCAAACATACTTACCACAAAACACTGCCCGACTCGCAAAGGTTTTTTTTTTGTTTATACACGACTACTACGTAAGTAAGCGCTTCGCCCCTTGTCCCGTCGGGAGGCGGCGGCGGCCGGCCCCGCCCCGGCCGGAGCCCCCGGCGCGGTCCCGAGCGGCGCCCCCGCC